TGAATTTTTTGATATTGTGATTTTACAAAAACGATTACCTTTGCGTTTAAATTGTGTAATATCATCTGTTTGTAATATTGTAAAGTGTTTTTATTGGATATTTGAGCCCTGGACTGGTTATTTATGATGTATGAGTTGGTGATTGGTCCACATGTCGATGTCACTCATTGGTTGGGAGTGTATTTAAAAATGTTTTGACTTTAATAGTATGTATATGCCTGATGAAGGACAGTGGACCGAAACGTTGCTTTTGTTAATAAACTTCAATATTTAGCAAGAATTGATAGTGTGCGGGATTGCATCTTTATACAAAGTTTGGTTAAAAATAGCCTGAAACCTAAAAACTGATTGGTGAATAAAACAACAACAACATTGTTTTGCCTTTACATGCCTTTTCATATCTGTTTATTTTTTTGAATAACTTAGTCCTGGCGTCCTCTACAAAGGACATAGAATAAAATATATATATAAAAAAATATATATATATTTCCATTTGAAAGTGAAAGTGAAAGTGACGTGACATGTGGCCAAGTATGGTGACCCATACTTGGAATTAGTGCTCTGCATTTACCCATCCAAAGTGCACACACACAGCAGTGAACACACACACACCGTGAACACACACCCGGAGCTTATACAAAGTTTGGTTAAAAATAGCCTGAAACCTAAAAACTGATTGGTGAATAAAACAACAACAACATTGTTTTGCCTTTACATGCCTTTTCATATCTGTTTATTTTTTTGAATAACTTAGTCCTGGCGTCCTCTACAAAGGACATAGAATAAAATATATTTAAAAAAAAAAAAATTTTCCATTTGAAAGTGAAAGTGAAAGTGACGTGACATGTGGCCAAGTATGGTGACCCATACTTGGAATTAGTGCTCTGCATTTACCCATCCAAAGTGCACACACACAGCAGTGAACACACACACACCGTGAACACACACCCGGAGCAGTGGGCCCTGGTGTTTTTTTATGCTAAAAAAGTCTAGGTCTAGGTATATCTTGACTGCTTATAATTAACTACTAAATACCATATTTGTTCTGTCAACCTAGGTTTGAAGATACAATGATGGATCCATACAATTTTACAAAAAGTCCTCTCAATTACAACTCATCCGAGTATGAAGATGACTATGATGATGATGATTATGATGAGAATACAGATCTCAGGAAATCTCTTAACATCATGTCACTCATAGTCTACAGTCTGGCTTTTGTACTTGGAGTGGTGGGCAATGGCATTGTCATTTGGGTTACTGGATTCAAAATGAAAAGGACGGTCAACACGGTCTGGTTTCTGAACCTTGCTGTAGCAGACTTCCTCTTCACAGCCTTCCTCCCTCTCAGCGTGGCTTATACGGCTATGGGCTTCCACTGGCCTTTTGGCCAGTTCATGTGCAAATTCAACAGCACTCTCAGTTTCCTCAACATGTTTGCCAGTGTGTACATCCTGGTTGTGATCAGTGTTGACCGCTGTGTGTCTGTGGTGCGTCCGATCTGGGCACAGAACCATCGGAATGTGAGCCGAGCTTCTGTGGTGAGCTTTGGAGTTTGGTTATTCGCCCTGGTGCTGAGCTCACCCTACTTTGTCTTCAAGGACACTGCACCCGACCACAGCAACTCAAACATAATCAACTGCTTCAACAACTTTGCATTCTCCGATGACTATGAAACACCAGAGGTGGTGGAGCTCCGTATTCTACGGCATCGTGCCATGATCATTACCCGTTTCATCATAGGCTTTGTGGTGCCTTTTGTGATCATCGTCTCTTGCTATGTGGTCATCATCCATCGTCTCCAAAGAAACCATTCCATGTCTGGCCGAACTGGACGTCCCTTCAAGATCATTGCTGCTGTGATCACCGCCTTCTTCATTTGTTGGGCTCCTTACCATATCCTGGTGCTCATTGAGATGGTAAACCACATGAGAGTGAAATACAGCTCCACCCTGCAATATGTCACCACTGTTGGACTTCCCATTGCGACCAGTTTGGCTTTCTTAAACAGCTGCCTGAACCCATTGTTGTATGTTTTCATGGGACAAGACTTTAAAGACAAGGTACGCAAGTCAATCCTGAAGGTTTTGGAAACTGCTTTCACAGAGGAAGTTTCACGCACAAATACCTGCACAAATTCAATGCCCACTTTTCGTAACAAAGAGAACGGGAGCAAGTCTTTCTCTGATGCAGAAGTATAACAGTATAACATAAATGAAGCACTTTTTCTAAAGAAGGACTTTACAAAGTGTCTCATGTGGATCTAATGCCATCATTAATAAAAGTGAGACACATTAACCTGAAGAACTGGACCAAAAGAAATTCAGTTAGTTTGAAGCTTTACATTAAAACTGCCTTGCTCTTATGGGGAAATGCTTATGTGATGCAGAATTATTATATACATGTGTGTGTGTGTGTGTGTGTGTGTGTGTGTAAGAGAGAGAGATTTAATGATGAATAAAAATTGCTATTGTAAGCATATATGATAATGAATTTTTTACATGTATTAGCTTGTCTTTACTGTATAACTATTGTCTGCACATACATTTTTATAAAATATCTTTTATTTCATATAAAATAGTATTAAATTTGTTGATGTTTTTCAAAGATTAAGCAAAAAGCTGAAGCTAAATAAACTTATTAATTAAGCCTCTTACTCTGGTCTCATTGTGGTCTTAATTTAGATATAATCAAAAACTGAACACTAATACAAGAGAATATTTAGTTTTTTTTAACATATTCTTTTTCAAATGTGAAAATGACATGAATCATTTTAGATATTTAATAATGTAATGTGTGTAATGCATGTTGTTTCTATTCAACTAAATTACACTAAGTGTCTAAAGAGGACAGTTCACTGAATTATTCAAAGAATCTATGGATTTCTTCCAAGACTGTATTGTACAAAAATTGTAAAACCACAAAAAGCCTTGTAATACACTTTACAGAAATTTAAATCTTGTATGTACATATTTTTTGCAGTGTTAAATCTAGTTGTGTAATATAGTAATGTAAAGTGCAGTCAAAACAAATGCAAGAATGTTAAATGCAACAATGCTTTTTGTTGAAGAATAGGAGATATTGCTGTTTCAGTTTCCAACTAAGGCAAAGTAGATTTAATCATACTTAGTTGGTAACATGAAAAATGAAAGTTGGTTTTATCTTAAATATTAACCCTCTCGTAAGAGATTCATGAAAGATGATGGTCCATTCAGTTTCAGTTTTTGAAATGGGTAACAGATTCTGATTGTATTGCTATATTCAGGAACAATGAAAGAAAGGCCAGCCTTGAGATTGTGAGAACCAATTAGATTTGCACCATGTCTACAACACTTGTTTGCAGTGTAAACACATAGTAGGAAGAAAGAACTTTTAACTGAGAATTCAGTGAAAAAGTTCACACTTAAGGCAATCCATTAATCCATCAACTGAATAAAATGTCATATTATATTGTTTATGATAAATAAAAAAAATTGATTGAAACTGAGTTTGTGGTATAGTGTACCATAATGTATACATTTATTGTCTCCACCTGTAGCCCATTGATTTATTATTTTTGTATGCCCAAAACTAAATTATCCCTCAGGATTAAATTGCCAGGCGGTAAATAATATAAAAACCACATGTATGTATTTTATCACATAATTAAAATCTGAACCTTCATTGCAGCACTTACTTTGCTGAACTATACAGACACAGAGAACTGGGCAGGGACATTTTGTCTTTAACACTGGTGACCCAAGAGAGGAGTGCTATGACTCTGTAATGACTTGAATTACACCATTACACAATCACACCATCAATACTGCAAACTGTTTGACCAGTTAAACAGACCCTCAAAATCCTGATCCTGCTGCTTTGATGAAGTTAGGATATTATCTCATCGCTAAAAGCTATGTACTGTAACTACAGGTCTAGCAGATGACAGTAATCCACCTACCAGGGTTTTTTGTTTGTTTGTTTTTTCAGTTTAACTCTATGGGAAGAATGGGTGGAAACGTTTATGTCTTAACTAGCTCATTTCAAATGGTTCTGCTGTATTAAAAATCTATTAAATATTTCATGTAATCTCAAAAAATGTTGTCATAAATCTGCATAATTACACAATACTTTTCTTTCAGCTGTTTTGCAAATAATTTTGAATGAACCCTTACGAAAATTAATGGTTTTATTATAGTAATTTATTATAGTAAAAGTGTACTATAACCTAGGTTTTTTGGCGTATTGATTATCATTTGCATAACCACAGTTTTACTACAAATACCATGGTTAAACTATGGTTTGTGTAGCAAAATCATGGTTAATTTGTGGTTACCATGGTTTAACTACAGCAGCATGGATTTATTTGTAGTAAAACCATGGTTCATTTTCAAAAGGGAAGTATTGCATGACACATTGTAAGGTAAAACAGCTTCCCATAATAGATCATATTTTATTCTTCCAAAAATTATTTTATGACAACTACCCTCCTACACGGCACAGCACATGCAAGATAAAGTAAACTGTGGGTTTAAATAAAAAAGCCTCACATTACAAAATCGTCTTACAATGTTCCAGTTCCAGCACAGACAAATGTATATAATACATAATGCAGTGCCAAATTATCTCAAAGCAACAGATTTAGATAACATGATTTAAGTAGTACATGCATGTACCAAATATCAAATGAATTAAAAACAATTATTTATAGATTGTCCACCCCCTTTCGGTGTTCCCATTAGCAGGTCATCTCCGCTCCAGTCCTGTGGGTGGCGTTAAAGCAGCAAAGCACATCTCACACGAAGAAGAATGCCAAAAGGAAGCTTTCGTTTTTCTTTTCTACCTCCTTCTTTTCTCGAGGATTTATAGTTGTTTGAGATAAACCACAACTAGTTCAGTTGACTGGTCAAAACCAATGTACGATAAACGTTGAATTCGCAAGACATTGCACTACATCTACGCACTAAACAGGAAGGAGACGGAAAGTTGCTACCCGCGTTTGAGCCTCTTCAGAAGTGACATCTATCGACAAGGTAATTCGCGGATACATGTGCCTGTTTTCATTTGTACATACTGTGTTATGAAAGCATGGCTTTTTTTGTTCTATATCCCGCACACATAACCGGTTGGGTTTTACTTACGTATCGTAACAAGTGTGTAATCTACTAGTAAGTCAACTTTGCTAACGTAGCGTGTTGTTTAGGCTTGTAATGTGGGATTACTAATGTAATGGTGTTGCGTTTTATTTGGCTTGAGCTGTAAATTTTCCCATAATCTTCCTGTTGTAATAGATGTGTACATTTACCGCCAGTATACCTTTATTGTATTTGTGGTTGCTATTGTTTTTAAGGACACCATTACATGACTTCCTTTGAGATCGAAAAGCAGCCTGTTTTGGTCGCTGGACTCGTTAAGATACCACGATGCCTTAACCCTTTAAATGTCAGGAACCTAAAAATACCTCAACAAATTACTTTTTGCTACTCAATACTCAATTGAGCTTATAGCTCTTAAGATAAAATATTTATGAAGTTTCACGTTTTGTAAGCTGCTTTGAATAAAATAGTCTGCTGAATTAATAAATGTAATGATAATGTAGTTTCACCATTGTTGTGTAACCATCATTGCTTTTAGTCCTTTATGGGATTAATTCTGCGCTACTATGTTGTGTTTTTGTCTGTGCATGAAATTCTTTTCTTTCTTTTTTTTAAATTGTCAATACAGTAAGGAAATGTACCAGACACTGTTGTTTTCTTATCTTTGTCACTCTTTAGACATACTGGGTGATTTCTAGGGTTTGCCCTGGCTGCGGTAAAGGAAGAGTAATCACAATTAAAACATCAGGTTTGCGGTGAGTAAAACTTGATTTCCTGTTTTGTACACTTGTATAGTACCATTTTTATGTGGAAAATTTTTTGTTTTCCATTGCACCTGGGGAACTCATACCACATTCCTCACACATTCAAGTCAGAAACACAAATAAGTAGCCTAAACAAAGCAAAAATATTATTTTGTGAGCAAACCCAAATAACTACATCTGAATTAAAAATGAATCTCTTATTTATGCATGGTATTACAACTAACTGTTACATGAAGCAAACTGTAAAAGTTGAGTAATTAACACTACAACTTTCACTACAGACTTGCTTTCCTCTCCCTGATGTCTCAATAGATTATAGATTGATTGTATTATATTGTAGTTAGTGCTGTCAAAATTAGCTTGTTAATGCAGGCGATTAGTATTTTCAGGTTAACGCGTTAAAAATATTTAACACAGTTAACGCGGGGGCGGAGCTAGGGTGGGCCACACCACTCACAACTGCTGCTTCTGTCTTTAAGACCACATCAAAGGGGAGACTTTTCAGACGCGCACTCCAACTTCACCTCAGCGCCAGACGCTAGTCAAATGAGCACGGAAAAGGTACAGGTGATGAGGGAGCTTCAGTAGAACAACAGTGAAGCGGTCAGATGAGATGTTGTCAGGCCTAGGGCTGGGTATCATTCAAAAAATTTCGATACGATACCGATACCTTGACTTCGATACTGGTTCCTGAACGATACTTTTTTCGATACCAATTTTATGAAATCCATTTTAACAATATTACATTACCTCAAAAAACGTTTGGGTTTTATTTTTTCAGCTTATTGACTTTTTTTTCAGACTCAAAGACTGATCTCCTGAGCCATTGCACAAAGGAACAAAATGTAACCAACACAATAAATCAGTGCACACAGTTTTAATAAAGTTCAAATAGTTTTCAGTTTCCACATTTTTTAGGCTACATTTACACTAGTGCGATTTTGTTTAAAAACGTATAGCTTAGACAGAATCATAATTTCTATTCATTTTCCGTTGATTTACTGATGAGCATTAGCTGCTTCCAGCGCTGTCTGCCTATGTTTTCTCTTCTGCAATCACTGTTCTGACTCAGAGGAACTCATTCACTGCTCATGTGTCAATCATATTACGCGTTCATAACCCACCCTTTCTCTGATTGCGAACGTCCATTTCACTTCCACATTCAATTCTGTACATAAGAAACCCAGGAAAACATTTCCACGGATGAAACATGAAGCTCATAAACTTAGGGATGGGCGATATCTTATCGTTTGCGATATACCGGTAAAAATTCTCCACACGATAAGAATTTGTCTTCCCGCGATAATAACGATAAGGTCTAGTTGTTGACATATATTTCTGTGTACGACTGCACTGGATACTTCTTCCTGGAGCATTACTTCTACTATGCATATGTGGAGTTTCTGCGCAAGGGCACCCTCCGGCTTCCAGTATGAATTAAACCGTCATTACATTACGTGTGTACTCAGTAATGCTAACACCCTATTTTGGGTAAAAATAGGAAAGATAATACTTTTCTTTAAAGAAACAGGATTCCCTAAATTATTGTCATTGATATCGTTATCGTAATAAATATCAGAAATTATCGTGATTTATTTTTAAGCCCATATCGCCCATCCCTATCGTAAACACGCGATTATTACAGTATATGATTTGTATGTGATTTTCATGAGATTCTGCCTGTGCTCATAATAATACAGGGTGTTTACATGAGAAATGCTAAGCAGGTGTAGCGATTAGCTTGATATAAAAGGCTACAAATAGCATATTTCAGCAACATTATATGGCCAAAACACACATTAGATCGGAATCGGAAGTTATTACAAACACTCAATGGTGGTTTAAAGTGAGTTTTGAGTAAAAGCGTAGTATAAATCTTATAAATTAGCTTATGTAGCATGATGCTGCAGTGTGCATGAATGGTCACGTAACATGCGTTTTCGGTCGTGTAGTGTGGATGGAGATCTTTTCTGAAACGCTGTGAAAACGCCAGTATGGACAAGGATCGTTTTCATTTTAAAACACTGTTTTTAAACGAAAACGCACTAGTGTAAACGTAGCCTTTCATCTATGGGTAGCCTTGTTTATCATTTCATATAAAAAGTGCAAAAGACAATACAAGCACTACTAATTGTTTAAAATTCGCTTGCTTGTGTAAATACGAACAAATGATAAGCTTATACTCTATTATGGTTAAATTTTGCAATTGATCCGCGGATCACATGCGGGCCGAACCCTGGGGCTTGGTCCGTACGGATCACGGATCAACTACGATCCGTTTAACCACTACTCAGTTTGGATCGCAGGTGGATTTCCCTCACTATATGAGCGAGTGTCGCCGGCATTTCCAGTTTTATGTGAACAAAACTGGATGCTCTCCCTCTCTCTCAAATATTACAAGTGTGTGTTATGCAGTGGTTACCGACCGGCAGAAACATAAATCTGCACCTATGGCATGGACGACGAAACAAAACCTTGTCAGAGCCGTAATGAGGCAAAGAAGTGTGCCGTGTGTGTGCTTGCCGCGCGTCTACATTTGAAATGGCATTGATAAGCAGTTAAATGTGTTGGTTTACACACAAAGAAAAGTGTAAGATTTTAATTAGTCCAAGAATAAAACGATTCATTTACTTAAAGGGATAGTTCAGATTTAGTAATTCTGTCATTAATTACTCACCCTCATGTCGTTCTAAACCCGTAAGACCTCCGTTCATCTTCGGAACAGAAATTAAGATATTTTTGATAGAATCTGAGAGCTCTCTGACCCTCCATAGACAGCAAGGGTCCTTACACGATCAAGGTCCAGAAATGTAGCAAGGACATTGGTAAAATCAGGGTGGCCTTAAAAAGTCTTAGAATGGCTTAAATAAAGTTTTCCTAAAATAAGGCCTTAAAAAGTCTTAAAATGTCTTAAATTCAGATTCAGTAGGTCTTAAATATTTTTGGTCACATTACCACAAAAATGTCTCCAGTCTAACGGACCCAGTGAGTGTCCATCAAGAGTACTTTTTCCCCCCGCTGTAGTTACCGCGTCATCAGAGAGAATTGCGGTTACAGAATACAGTCGAACACCAGTTGGCTGTCCAGCCTCCGAACTACTTTAAATGGGTTAATGCAAGTTTACTGAAAAATGGCTTGAGAATTGTACTTGCCCGACAGGACTAATAGATAATCCATGTGAAATCAGGGCTTCAACCGTAATTTTACGAAGCTACAAGAATACTTTTTTGAGCTTTTTTTGATTTACAGAACTTTTTGTGCCGTTTTCTAACAATTTGGACTTGAATAAAGAGAGAAAACTTGCACTTAACCTTTTCACAGGTATTTTGTTTTCATAGTTAGACAGATATTGTGATGTATCATTATAGGATTGTCTAGCAATATATCGATTATCGCAGAATTGTTGTATCGTGATATTATCATACCGTGAGCCATGTATCATGATTCGTATCGTATCATGAGGTAACCTGCGATTCCCACCCCTAGTGGATTGGTGGATGCCATTGAACAAATATTAAAAACATACTTGTCTTTGTTGTTTCTACATTAATTTGAAGATTGAATGTGAAATTATTGCAATATAAAAGTATATTTAAAACCTTTAATGTTAGGTGAAATTAATAGCGATTAATTTCAGAAAAAATGTGCTATTTAATTAGTTTTTTTTTTTTATCGATTGCCAGCACTAATTGTATTGTTTCTGCAATGTGTCAAATTGCCACGCAACGTCCAGCATCACAACTCGGCAACTAGTGCATGATCTAGAATTCAGTTTCCCACTTAAATATGCCTATGTACTTAAAATGTGTTAACAAGTAAATAAGCACATTGCATTGCATTGCAATTGCAATTCATTGCAAATAAGCACAAGCACTGTTGAAATCTGCCTTTGCAAATATTTTACTACTAGTCAGAATTATTTTTTTTCTCTATTGTCTCCATTTCCCCCTTATCTTAAAAAGGGATTTAATGCTTTAATGATTTATGTTGTGTAGTGCAGAATAGAAACGAAGGTTGATCGAGAAACTTTTTCTCGCAGGCAAAAGTGTGAATATTTACTTAATTTTTTATGCAAACAGCTTGTTAATTGCTATCCTGCATTTATTTACACTTACCTACATCAGTTTGCTTCAACATTTATTTACCATCTTTTACATGATGTTGTCCTTGCAATAAATTCATTTTTAATAAATAAAAAATGTAATTGTAAAATGAATTACATTTAAATATATATATATATATATATATATTCTGTTTATTGTGCTATCAGAAAGAATGTGTAAGTGTTGGATTCAGTAATTTATATTTTTTTATCATTTATATAACACTGAAAATTACTGAAAAACATACTGAAATAGAAATTGTGTTGCTTTCACTACATGGAATACTGTTATAAAGATTTAAAAAAGTTTTAATGTGCCAAGTTAGAAATTTCCCTGCATAATTTACAGTATTATCTGAGAGAGAGTTTTTTGTAAATAAAATGAACATTATTATTAAAATGTACTCAAATTACTCCTAATTGGAGCTTGTGAGTCAGTTTCACAACAATTTGGAAAATCTATATCTATACCTAGCCCCAACACAAATACCACAATGGTAGTACATAGGGCTCATTTAGGTAATGTAGATGTTGCTCTAATAGAAATTTGCTTTCACTACATGGAATACTGTTATAAAGATTAAAAAAAGTTTTAATGTGCCAAGTTAGAAATTTCCCTGCATAATTTACAGTATTATCTGAGAGAGAGTTTTTTTGTAAATAAAATGAACATTATTATTAAAATGTACTCAAATTACTCCTAATTGGAGCTTGTGAGTCAGTTTCACAACAATTTGGAAAATCTATATCTATACCTAGCCCCAACACAAATACCACAATGGTAGTACATAGGGCTCATTTAGGTAATGTAGATGTTGCTCTAATAACTGCCCTGGGCTGCATTTCCCAGAAATATCATAAGCCTAAGTGGATTGTTTAACGGTATGTATTATGAATTATGAAAAAGCTAAACATTTTAATTATGCAAAGATACATCACTTGCAACAAAATTTATTTGTGTCTTACATTTCCTCTCCTTTCTTTTTTTTCCTTTTTTTTTTTACAGATGGCAATATCTGAATTGTGGCCCAGCACCTCAAACAAGGCAGGCCATATATAACGAGGTTTACATCATTGTATTATGCTCAAATGTCACATTTTCCTACGGAGTTGGGGGAATTGTTGATTGATTTTATAATCAAAGACTTTTAAGGATAGATTTTTAATTATTTTTGGAATTTTCTATTTTATTGAGCTTGGTAGAGTTGCCATTTAAGAAATATTGTTACCAGTTTTGGCTTTTTATTAAATGTATATAGAAACTTAGCCTTGTTTTATAGCAACTGACGTGAGATTGGACTTTATTTCCTGGAAAATAATTCCAGTAGTCGTTGATGTATTTTTTTTAAACATCTCACATAATATATCATGTTCCCTGTTTCCTAAACGATTGAACTTTATACCTCAAAAGAGGCTACATTTGGCTTTGTCATGATGGCTTATTCAATGGACTCTATACAAGAGTTAAGTGGAGGAGATGCCTTCATCTGCACAGAGTGTGGTGAAGGGTTTAGTCAGTACCCAAAACTAGTCGAACACATGGCCATTCATGGACTTACTGAGATATTTTCCTCTGATGGTTTAAGCATTAGTAATGGTAGTTGTATCAACACCTCTATTGAGGTTGCTCTCCATGAAAACGGAATGCTCACTGTTGTTGATCGATCTGTGTTGTCTAACTTTACTTTCTTGTTTGGAAAACCTTCATCCAAGTCATTATGGTGCCAACCCCCTAATCAAGAAGCCTCGACTTCATCTAAGATACCAGAGAAGGAGTATACTCCGTTTAAGTGTGAAAGATGTGAACAAGTGTTCAAAACCCCAAAGAGCTTACAACTGCATCAGCAGTACCGTGCCCTTGAGAAGGGGTTCAAATGCACTCTTTGCTGCATGGTGTTTAATGACCGGGAAAGTCTGCAGAGCCACCTTCAAACCCATGCTCATGAACGCTTTTATAGTTGTGGACACTGTGGAAAGCGATTCTTAAGACAAGAGACCATACTGTCACATCAAAAACAGTGGCATAGATCTGTTGGTTCCAAGACTTTGAGTAGATCTGAGGAAAATCGAGGAAATAATATGGACAGGTCTTATCCTTGCAAAATTTGCGGCTTGAGCTTCTTTTGGTTGTCTGACTTGCAAAGCCACCTAAACAGTCATTCTCGCATCAGCAGGCCATCTAGTGATGTAACACAAAAACAGGAAATGCTCGGGGAAGAAGAAAGTAAGAAAAATGTCAGTAATTCACTCAATGAGCCATGTCGGTGTGGCCTGTGTGGGGAACATTTCAACCAAATTTCAGATTTAAGAGCGCATCATAAAACACAGCATCCAGATGAGGTTGAAGTAAAGGACTCTTCAGGTTTACCGGCTAAGATGAAACGGCAGTACCATAGTGTAATGCGACAAATGGTTACTAAACCGCAAAAGCAGCGAGTTGATCCACTAAGGTCAAGCATAAGAGGAAGGCCTAGAGGAGTGAGCAGAGCCAATTTTAGTGGTAAAATATTTTCCTGCAAACTCTGCCATCATGTGTTTTTACACTCAAGCAGTCTTTCTCGTCATATGCGTTACCATAAGGGAACTCTGCATGCCTGTGTTTACTGTGGAAGACACTTTCCACAAAGATGTGATGTCACAAGGCATGTGGCCATGTACCACAGTTCAGCGCTTCAACCTAAGGCTCCTGGGGAGTCAGAGACAGAACATGAGGTTAAAAACCATGAACAGGAACCTGTGAAAGCATCAACACAAACAAAAAGTGATAGTAAACAAGAAGAACTTGAAGAAGAAAATCAGCCTGCATCCAAGACAGATGACCTGTTACTTGGTTCTCCTTATAAGGGAACTTACAAAACAAGGATGAAATACAAATGCAAAGAATGTTGTAGAGTCTTTGGGCTACTTAGTGTTTATCGGCGACACATGTATTACCACAAGCGAAGTCCCTGCAAGGTTCTGCTCAGTTGCCCTCTCTGTCCAAGCCGCTTCACGTTCCTCTCTGCTTTAGATCGCCATCTTGAATATCATCATAAAGGAGACTCTAAGAATGATGGCACAAAACCTCCTGAGACTAATATAGTTGATTCCAAAAGTCAGCAAGGAGAAGCTGATGCTGAAAAGCCTAATAAAAATGCTGATAATGGCATGTCGTTGGAAATAGTAAATGAATCCACTGAATGTTCTCAGACCTAGAGATCCACAAAATGGCCAAAAGTATATGGACACCCTTATGTAATGAACAGGTTTGGCTATTCCAGCAATTTCAGTGAAGACAAATATAAATGCTCAACTATAAAATGAAATATTATGTGCTTTCAATTTTGTCTCAACAGCGAGGACCCTTTTTCTATTCCAGCAGGGCAATGACCCTGTGCACAAAGCAATGCTCTACTGTTTCCCGTGTTGAAGAAAGTGAATGACATGCACAAATCCACTACTGAGCACATTTGGGATGGATTGGGAATGCAGACTGTGAGCCAGAATTTTTTTGCTTGATGTTATTGCCTGACCTTCTTGATGCTCTTGTGTCTGAAGCAAGTCCCTGCAACAGTCTTCCATTCCAGAAGAGTGGAGTTTTGTTATAGCTGCAAAAGGAGTGATTAATGTCATACTTTTGAAAATAAATGGTTGACAAGAGCATCAGAGCATCATTTACCCCAAAGGCATTTAGGTCTTCATGCAAACTGGCACTGTTCTTTTGGAAAAGAAAAGGGCCCTCCCCACATAGTTGCAACAAAGTTGGAAGCACAGAATACTCAAGTAGATCATTGAATAGTATGGTGTTAAGATTACAATTCTGACCGGAATGCCTGGAGAAAAGCCTTTCTAATAACTGATCATTAGAGGAGAGTGTCCACAATGAAGATATAATGTATATCAAAATGTTCAGAATGCTCAGTTATACACTCTAAAAAATACTGGGTTGTTTCAACCCAACTTTGGGTCAAATATGGACTAACCCAACTTTTGGGTTAAAAC